GCCTCCTGAGTAGCTGGGATTACAGGCACGCGCCACCATGCCCAGCTGATTTTTTGTATTTTTAGTAGAGACGGGGTTTCACCGTGTTGACCAGGATGGTCTCGATCTCTTGACCTCGTGATCCACCCGCCTCGGCCTCCCAAAGTGCTGGGATTACAGGCGTGAGCCACCGCGCCCGGCTATTTCCGTGGTTTTTACCCCTCGTTTGCGGTCCGTGGTTACTGCAGTCTCAGGACACGAATGCCCCAGCCTCCCAGGCGTCCCCACTGTGGGTCTGCGCGCATTTGCTTTTGAGGTCCTTGCTCTCCCTCTCTGGTGTGGGTTTCTCTGGTCTCTTCAGTTACTTTTCTTCCTTGGTGTAAGAACCCAGGGGCCAGGAACCCTTGGTTTTTCCCCCTTACCTATCCCAGGCATCTTGGGGTCAGAGGGGACAAGAAGTGCCCAAGAAGGAAACAGGGACTCAGGGGACGAAACCTCGCACGCCCAACTGGCTTGTGGGCGAACTGGCTCCATCCCGGGGCGGACCCCTCCTCTCCCCGAAGCTCGGTCGCTCCTCCAGCGTCCTCCATCCGGATGGACTTGGGAACTGCAGACTCAGTTTCTCCATGGAGCGACCCCTCACCCGGCCAGGGGGTGGAGGCGAGCGGGGGCTGAGGCCTCTGCAGGTGGGGGCGCCAAAACGCCCCAGCCGGCTCGATGAGGCCCTACTGCTCCCGGGCTGTCCCCGGAGGAAGCTGGGGTCCCCCAGAGACCGCGGCCGGGGCGCGGGGCCTCCCAGGAGCTGAGCCCCGGGAGCGCGGGAGGAGGCGGCACCGACCCCGGACCCGCACCCCAGGAGATCCCGCGGCGTCGGCCCGGGGCGGGTTCTGGGGGTGCCAGGAGCGCACCGGGGGATCTCGGGCGACCCTGCCCACGGCGGTCCCGGCGTCCCGAAGCCGCAGCCAAACCCTCGGAGGCGCCGCGATCGCAGGCGGGAATGGGGGGTCGGGAGCGCAGGGAAGAGGGAGCCCAGGGACAACGGGGCCGCGGTCGGGCTCCGGGCGGCGCTTTCCGCTCTGCAGCCTCAGGGCCGGGGGCGGGCGGGGACCTGGACCTCGAAGCGCCGCAGCCGCAGCCTCAGCGTGGGAGGAGGGGCCGCACGGGACCGGGGGCCCAGGCGCTCGTCCTGCTCCGCCCTCGTGGGGACCGCCCCGCGCGTCCCTCAGCCCCGCCCGGCCGCGGTCTCAGGTGGACACCGGTTCCCGCCTCCCCGTCCCCCGCGCCCCGCCCGGGAACATGTCCCGCGCCGCACTTACCATGTCCCGAGACAATTTCTCCGCGACCCGCGCAGGTGAGCGCGACTGGAACCAGGACGCCGGGGACCGCTAGGGGCAGGCGGGGCACTCGCGGCTGGACGACAGACACGTCCCGTCCCGGAGGCCTGATTGGACAGAGCTCGGGAAGCCACGCCTCTGATTGGACATTGCTGCTAACGTCAGCGACCCTGATTGGACAATTTCCCGGTCCGTTCCCCGGTTCTGTGAATTGGGCAGTTCCCCGGATATCGACTGGGCGTCCCTGATTGGACAGTTGTCTAGGCCCTGCCTCTGCCCGTCCTGATTGGATAGTTCCCTAGGACCCAATCCCTGCCACCCAAATGACTGGCTTGTTGCGAACACCCGTGGATGTCCTGCCCGGCGGGGACACGGGCTTGTAGGTGAACTCGCTTCAGTCCGTGGCGGACCCCGCCTCTCCCCGCAACTCGCCGCCCCTCCCGCGTCCTCCTCCAGGACGGGCGTGGGAAATCCAAACTCAGTTTCCCCACGGAACAACCCCTTGTCCCGCCAGAAGGTGGAGTTGAGCGAGCAGCCTGAACTCTGCAGGGCAAGCGGCGGATTGAGCCCCGGTTCTGTGGGGCTGAGGCCTACGTGGGCGCGGCGGCCGCGGCTGTGACGTCATCGCACTGTCCCGCGTGGGCACGGCGTGGTGGAGGCCCCGCCCCGGGGGCTGGGCATCCGGAGACCTGGCCTGGGGGAGGCCAAACCTGAAACCTGGCATTGGGCAGGAGCTTTGCTTAAATCAACCTGAAGATTTATGCCATGCTCGTTAAAACCCTCAAGCTCGACCGGGTGCAATGGCTCACGCCTGTAATACCAGCTCTTTGGGAGGCCGAGGCGGACGGATCACCTGAGCTGAAGAGTTGGAAACCAACCTGGCCAACATGGGCCAGGCCACAGAGAGCAATCGGTCTCAAACAAACAAAAAACTCACGAGTTCACATATTAAAGTGCAAGGAAAATTTTTTTTCAGATCATTTTTAAGTCCATTCCCAAACAATTTGGAAGATTGAAAGTCTATAATGGCCGGGTGCGGTGGCTCACACATGTAACCTGGCACTTTCGCACGCCAAGGCGGGTGGATCACCTGACATCAAAAGTTCAAGACCAGCCTGGCCAAAATGGCAAAACCCCATCTCTACTAAAAATACAAAAATTAGCTGGGCGTGGTGGCAGGCGCCTGTAATCCCAGCTACTCAGGAGGCTGAAGCAAGAGAATCATTTGAACTCGGGGAGGCCGAGATTGGACCACTGCACTCCGGCCTGGGGGACAGAGCAAGACTCCGTCTCAAAAGAAAAAAAAAAAAAAGGCTATGATATTGCAAAATAATAGGAATGTATCTAATTCCACTGAACTTTAGACTTAACAATTATAAAGATGTTAAATTTTTATTTGTATTTTACAATTTTTTAGATGTTATATTTAAAACAGAAAAGCCTATGGTATTTCTAAGGATACTGAATCCTTATTTTAACTGATATAAGAAAAACAGGCAAAAGTTTAAATGAATTTGGTTGAAACTTAGGAGGGAATTGGGTTTTAATTTTTGGTTTTTTGAGACAGAGTCGCTCTCTGTCACCATGGCTGGAGTGCATAATCCTGGCTCACTGCAAACTCCATCTCCCATGTTCAAGTGATTCTGGTCCCTCAGCCCCCCGAGTACGTTGGACTACTGGCCCATGCTGTTACATCGGGCTAATTTTTTTTTTTTTTTTTTTTTTGAGATGGAGTTTTGCTGTTGTTGCCCAGGCTGGAATGAAATGGCACGATCTCAGCTCACCACAACCTCCGCTTCCAGGGTTTAAGCGATTCCCCTGCCTCAGACTCCCAAGTAGCTTGGATTACAGTCCGTACCACCACACTTAGCCAATTCTGTATTTTTAGTAGAGACAGGGTTTCTTCATGTTGGTCAGGCTGGTGTCAAACTCCTGACCTCAGGTGATCCACCCACCTTGGCCTCCCAAAGTGTTGGGATTACAGGCGTGAACCACTGCGCCCAACCTTAAATTTAAAAAAAAAAAAATGAAAAAAAATATGTGATCAACCTGAAAACACTTAATACACTGTATAGACCATGGCTGAAAACCAAATGCAGTTAATGGTTGCTCATTTCAGAAAACTCCATAGCTTAAGGGGTTGTTCAAATTTTGATATTGTCATTTCATTCAGAAACAATTTTTACAATTCACTTTTATCTTTCCTAGAAAGGTTTTATACACTTTAATAAAAATACATGTTTAGAGGACTGACACAGGAAAGCAGCTTCCAGTTAAAAATAAAGTAGTGTGGGCCGGGCGCGGTGGCTCAAGCCTGTAATCCCAGCACTTTGGGAGGCCGAGGCGGGTGGATCACGAGGTCAAGAGATCGAGACCATCCTGGTCAACATGGTGAAACCCCGTCTCTACTAAAAATACAAAAAAAAATTAGCTGGGCATGGTGGCGCGTGCCTGTAATCCCAGCGACTCAGGAGGCTGAGGCAGAAGAATTGCCTGAACCCAGGAGGTGGAGGTTGCGGTGAGCCGAGATCGCGCCATTGCACTCCAGCCTGGGTAACAAGAGCGAAACTCTGTCTCAATAAATAAATAAATAAAGTAGTGTGGCTGGGCTCCGTGGATCACCCCTGTAATTCCAGCACTTTGGGAGGCCAAGGCGGGTGGATCACTTGAGGTCAGGAGTTCAAGACTGGCCTGGCCTACATGGTGGAACCCTGTGTCAAATAAAAGAACAAAAACAAAAGGCTGAGCATGGTGGCTCACACCTGTAATCCTAGCACTTTGGGAGGCTGAGGGGAGAGAAGATTTTTTCCAAAAAAAAAAAAAAAAAAATTAGCCGGGCATGGTGGTGAGTGCCTGTAGTCCCAGCTACTCGGGAGGCTGAGGCAGGAGAACTGCTTGAACCCCGGAGGCAGAGGTTGCAGTGAGCTGAAATCATGCCATCGCTCTCCAGCCTGGGTGACAGTGAGACTCCATCTCAAAAATAAATAAATAAATTTTTTTAAAAAAATTGCTGGAGATAGCAAGGCCGAGAACAGTATAGTCAGGAGAACTCTAACTCAAGTCTTCTCAAGAATATGCCGAAAGCTACAGATGCTTTCCCCAAAAAACACATCAATGCACCAGCACACACTTTGCATCCAGTTCAAAGTTGTTCACAGAGCCCTTAAAAAAACCTTACTCGGCCAGGCACTGTGGCTCACGCCTGTGATCCCAGCACTTCTGGAGGCCAAGGCAGACAAATCACCTGAGGTCAGGAGTTAGACACTAGCCTGGGCAACAGAGAGAAACCCATCTCTACTAAAAATACAAAAAATTAGCCGGGCATGGTCGCACGTGCTTGTAATCCCAGCTAGTCAGGAGGTCGAGGCAGGAGAATCTATTGAACCCGGGAGTCGGAGGTTGCAGTGAGCCGAGATTGCCCCACTACACTCCAGCCTGGGCGACAGAGTCAGACTCAGTCTCAAAAAAGAAAAGAAACTTACTCATCAACCCAGTAGGGTCTAGACTGGCCAGGGATCAAGGACATCTAAGGAAAAGCAACATGTTCGATTTGGGTGTAAGGAGATGGGACGGGCAACCTCCCTCATTAGCTCAAGGCAAAAGGGAAGATTGACAGCAAAGTTAGGTGACTTCTAAGAGAAAATCTGTAAGTTTTTTTTGAGGCAGGGTCTTGCTTTGTCACTCAGGCTGGAATGCAGTGGTACGCTCATAGCTCACTGTAGCCTGAAGCTCCTGGGCTCAAGGAGTCCTTCCGCCTCAGCTCCCAGAGTAGCTGGGACTACAGGCGTGAGCCACCATGCCTGGCTAATGTTTGTATTTTTCTTTTTTTTTTTTTTTTTTTTGAGACAGAGTCTCATTCTGTTGCCCAGGCTGGAGTGTAGTGGTGTGATCTCGGCTTACTGCAACCTCTGCCTCCCAAGTTCAAGCAATTCTCCTGCCTCAGCATCCTGAGTCCCGAGTAGCTGGGACTACAGGCTCTCGCCAGCACACCCAGCTTGCCAGGATGGTCCCGATCTCCTGACCTTGTGATTCACCCACCTCGGCCTCCCAAAGTGCTGGGTTTACGGGCATGAGCCACCGCGCCCAGCCTAATGTTTATGCTTTGCAGATACAGAGGCTGTGTTGCCCAGGCTGGGCTGAACTCCTGGACTCAAGTGAGTCTCCTGCCTCAGTTCCCAAAATACTGGGATTACAGTTATGAACCACTGCATTCAGCTTTCCCAGAGAAAATATAGGAAACAGTTCCCCTGCTTGGTGGCCTAGTGAATGAGGTGTTGGCTTTCTACAGGTTGTTCAAGGTCAAATCCAGATTCCACTACTCATTTTTTTTTTCGAGACAGAGTCTCACTGTCACCCAGGCTGTAGTGCAATGGTGCCATCTTGGCTCACTGCAACCTCTGCCTCCTGCTTTCAAGGTATTCTCATGCCACAGCCTCCTGAATAGCTGGGACAAGCAGCGTGCACCACCATGCCCAGCTAATTTTTGGATTTTTTGGTTGACATGTTAGCCAGGCTGGTCTCCAACTCCTGACCTCAGGCTGTCCACCCACCTCAGCCTCCCAAAGTACTGGGATTATAGGCATAAGCCACCATGCCCAGCCCAGATTCCACAATCTTATTATTTATTCAATTATTTATTTTTAGATACGGGGTTTCTCCATGTTGGCCAGGGTGGTCTCGAACTCCTGACCTCAGGTGATCCACGCACCTCGGCCTCCCAAAGTGCTGGGATTACAGGCGTGAGCCACCACGCCCGGCATCCACTACTTTCTCAGGTTCAAGCGATTCTCCTGCCTCAGGTTCCTGAGCAGCTGGCATTACAGACACCCGCCACCACACCTGGCTAATCTTTGTATTTTTAGTAGAGATGAGGTTTCACCACGTTGGCCAGGCTGGTCTCGAACTTCTGACCTCCTGATTCACCCAGTCTCCCAGGCTCCCAAAGTGCTGGAATTACAGGCGTGAGCTACCGTGCCTGGCCGATTCCACTACTTACTAATTGTGTGACCTAGAGCAAATTATTTGTTTCATCTTCTGTAAAATGGAATATGAAGAGTGGTTATCTCACAGGGTTGTGAGGGCTAAATGAACCACACAGAAGTACTCGACTGGTGCTTGGTATACGGTAAGCATCCAATACACGTTAGCGACGATAATGTACATCGGCACTCTTGGTCTCCACTTTGCTTGGTCTGTCTCACAGGTGGGACTTTTCCCAGGCCACCAAAGGTCATTCCCCCCTCTAGGTCCCAAAGCCTGCTCTACTGTGTCCCAACCATCAAGGTATCCACAGGCTACTCTACCCCACCCTGTTCCACATCCTGAACAATTCTGGGTGCTATTTGATTTTTATTCATTGCCAAAATGATGACAGCAATGCCACATGAAATGGTGAAAGATGCGGCATCACACACGATCGGCGGACCCCAGTAATCATATACATGACTCATTTCTTCACATCTCTCCCAGCCTTTGTGCTTTTGGGCATGGATGAAATTACTAGTACTATTTTGAACCCCTTATATTTTTTAAACTGCACATCCAAAGCGCTTTCTGTCTTAGCGTACAGCCTGTGCTGGTACAGTAGTGCACACAACAGACAGATCCAGCTAAGTGACCAATGTAAAACGCTGAAGCAGAATACTGAAATGAAGGCCGGGCATGGTGGCTCACACCTGTAATCGCAGCACTATGAGAGGCCAAGGTGGGTGGACTGCTTGAGCTCACGAGTTCGAGACCAGCCCGGGCAGCCTGATGAAAGCACATTGCTACAAAAAATAGAAAAAAAAAATTAGCTAGGTGTGGTATCGGTGCACATCTGTAGTCCCAGCTACTTGAGAGGCTGAGGTGGGAGGGCTGCTTGAGTCTGGGAAGGGAAGGCTGGCTGCAGGAAGCTATGATCACACCACTGCACTTTAGCCTCGGCAACAGAGTGAAAATCTGTCTTAAATAAACCCAGAAAAGAATATTGAAATAAAAACAATGAACAATGAAATAAACACTTAGGGCCAGGCGCGGTGGCTCAAGCCTGTAATCCCAGCACTTTGGGAGGCCGAGGCGGGTGGATCACGAGGTCAAGAGATCGAGACCATCCTGGTCAACCTGGTGAAACCCCGTCTCTACTAAAACTACAAAAAATTAGCTGGGCATGGTGGCGCGTGCCTGTAATCCCAGCTACTCAGGAGGCTGAGGCAGGAGAATTGCCTGAACCCAGGAGGCGGAGGTTGCGGTGAGCCGAGATCATGCCATTGCACTCCAGCCTGGGTAACAAAAGCGAAACTCCGTCCCAAAAAAAAAAAAGAAATAAACACTTAACACACAGAAGCAGTTAAGAATCAGCACACCTTTTGTTTAAGCAACTAAATCAACAAGTGGTTCTTGGCAAAATCCCACCTGTGATAACATTTTTGTCGACCAATCTTTTCTGAAAGTCCGGAGCTCATTGGACAGAGCATAATGACAATTCCGCCCATTAAAAGGCTGCTCCAGGTTGGGCACAGTGGCTCATGCTTTTAATCCCAACACTTTGGGAGGCCAAAAGAGGAGGACTGCTTGACCCCAGGAGTTCAAGACCAGTCTTGGCAATGTAGCAAGACCCCAAAAGCATAAAAAATTAAAAAATTCGCTGGGCACAGTGATGCACACCTGTAGTAGACGGAGTCTTGGTCTGTTGCCTGGGCTGGAGTGCGGTGGTGTGATCTTGACTCACTGCAGCCTCCCGTTTCGAGGTTCAAGTGATTCTCCTGCCACAGCCTCTCAAGCAGCTGGGATTACAGGCACACACCACCAAGCCTGGCTAACTTTTGTAATTTTAGTAGCGACGGGGTTTCACCATGTTGGTCAGGCTGGTCTCAAACTCCTGACCTTGTGATCCTCCCGCCTTGGCCTCCCAAAGTGCTGGGATTACAGGCATGAGCGACTCCACCCGGCCAATAAACCCACTTCTTTTCAAATAATCCATCACACCAGGGCAAAGTCTAACCACATGTACGTGTCAGAGTACTAAACAGCGGTTTACAAAGCAGCACGCACTTGCTAGCATCCGATAAGATGTCTGTTCCGGTAGAATGCTTCCCCACAGTCAATGATCTTGTAGGTTTTCTGGCTGCTATGAGTCTTCTGATGTGTGGCAAGGGAGGAGCTCTGGCTGAAGGCTTTCCCACACTCCTGACACCTGTAGGGTTTCTCTCCGGTGTGAGTTCTCTCGTGCCTCACGAGGGAGGACCTCTGGCTGAAGGCCCTTCCACACTGCTTACATTCATAGGGGTTCTCGCCCGTGTGAGTTCGCTCATGCTGGTTGAGGGAGGAACGGTCACTGAAGGCCTTTCCACAATCACTGCATTCGTAGGGCTTCTCGCCCGTGTGTGTCCTCTTGTGCAAGATCAGGTAAGAACTCTGGCAGAAGGATTTCCCACAGTCTTCACATTTGTAGGGCTTCTCCCCGGTGTGGATCCTCTGGTGCTGAGTCAGAGATGAGATCCTGTTGAAGGCCCTCCCGCACTCACCGCACGCGTAGGGCTTCTCTCCAGTATGAGTTCTCAGATGGCGCGTGAGGGTGGAGCTGTGCGTGAAGGCTCGCCCGCACTCCTGACACTCGTAGGGCTTCTCTCCCGTGTGAATTCTCTGATGTTCGCTCAGCGAGTGTCTCCGGTTGAACACCTTCCCGCACTGGTGGCACTCAAAGGGTTTCTCTGCTGCGTTGATTTTGTTGTGTATCGTCAGCGCCACACTGTGGTTCAGTGACTGCCCATTTTCCAAATACACAAACATTCTCCCCCCGTGTTGAATAAAGTGACCGTTCCGGCTGATGGCATTTCCACGTTCGTGATCTTCACAGGGTCTCCCATCAGCATGTCCCATCTGATGGTGCTTTAAGACTGAATCGGATGCCAGGCTTGTCATATCCAGTCCACTGTCACACATGTGTTTCCCTTTACAGCTTCCCTGTGATAAAACAAGGGCTGAGCTCAGATGACCATTTTCCCCAAATCCATGCCATCCAGCAGCCGTCTCCTGAGGAAGCGCCACTGCTTGGATGGACGCCTTCTGGCTCAAAAGCCCCTGGGGGTCTTCATGACTCTCCCCCAACTGCTTCCATCCCCCGTCTTCTCTGATAAGCCTTATGATATTTATACCACCGGCTGGTTCCTCCTGTAAGATCACCTTCTTGTAAGTTGAGTCTTGGTTTTTCAGTACAGTCGTCCAACCTGAAATAAATTGAGGGGGAAACAATTCTTTTAGAAGCAGCAGCAGCTACTTGAAAACCAGTGGGCCAAAAGTCCTTCCAACATCTACAAGGCCTATGTGGACTGACATTTAGATATCAGCTTTGAACATGGGGGAAGGATGGGAAAAAGAGAGGTGGGCAGCAAGGAAGGCTACTGAGGGTGAGATGCGGCAGCAGGGGACTGACAGTGATGGAAAAAGGCAGGGGAATCGAAATACAGAGAGAAATTATTCTGTAAAGCTGGGGGACTATGTCTGGAAGAGAGAAAGGATTATTAAGAAAGCAAAAAGGGGGCCAGGAGTTGTGGCTGATGCCTGTACTCCCAACATTTTGGGAGGCTGAGAAAGGAGGATCGCTTGAGGCCAGGAATTCAAGACCAGCCTGGAAAACACAGTGAGACCCCCATCTCTGGAAAAAAAAAATAGATGGGAGTGATGGCAAGTGCCTATTGTCCCAGCTGCTCACGAGGCTGAGGCAGGAGAATCACCTGAGCCGAGGAAGGCAAGGATACAGAGAGATATGATCGTGCCACCACACTCCAGCCTGGGCCACAGAGTGAGACCCTTAAGATAAATAAATAAAATGGCAGGGCGTGGTGGCTCACGCCTATAATCCCAGTACTTTGGGAGGCCGAGGAGGGCAGATCAGGAGGTCAAGACATCCTGGCCAACATAGTGAAATGCCGTCTCTACTAAAATACAAAAATTAGCTGGCCATGGTGGCACATGCCTGTAGTCACGGCTACTGGGTAGGCTGAGGCAGGAGAAGTGCTTGAACCCGGCAGGCAGTGGCTGCATGAGCCAAGATCGCGCCACTGCACTCCAGCCTGGCACCTGGTCAAAGAGAGAGAGTCTGTCTCACACACACACAAAAATAATAAGTAAATAAATAAAACAAGAAAACGGGATATTCTTTTCTCTGTACCCAGAGAGAGGTCACGTAAAGTAGTAAGACGAGGGGAAAGCTGACAGGAAGTGAACTGCGGGTGTCTGAGGAAGGTCTCTTGGCACTGTCCTTACAGGATCAGGGCCTTGTGAAGAGGTCTCTACCAATGTTTCCCCAGACGTTACTGCCATCCCGATGCTTTCCATGTGCGCGATTCTCACCGGAACAGGAGGCTTGAGGAGTTCCTTTTTCCTCCATCCGCAGGGCTTCGCTTTGCTCCATGTGGACAGAAGCCACCGGCTGAAGAAGTAAATGCCCCATCCACGAGGAAAGGCGAGTGGCTTGTAGGGTGTGTACCGTGGAAAATGGACCCTCCTCAATCCCCGCATCAGCACATGGGTTCTTCACGGCTTCTGAAAGGGACAAGAATGCACTTGAGAGGTAGCACAAAGTACGGATTTCATTCTTTTTCTTTTTTTTTTTTTTTTGAGACAGAGTCTTGTTCTGTCGCCAGGCGCAAGGCTGGAGTGCAGTGGCACGATCTCGGCTAACTGCAACCTCTGCCTCCCGGGTTCAAGCAATTCTCCTGCCTCAGCCTCCCACGTAGCTGGGACTACAGGAACAAGCCACCATGCCCAGCTAATTTTTTTTGTATTTTTAGTAGAGATGGGGTTTCACCATGTTGGCCAGGACGGTCTCGATCTCTTGACCTCGTGATCCACCCGCCTTGGCCTCCCAAAGTGCTGGGATTACAGGCTTGAGCACCGCACCTGGCCAGATTTCATTTTCTAATTTAAAAAATCACAGGTCTGGCCGGGCGCGGTGGCTCAAGCCTGTAATCCCAGCACTTTGGGAGGCCGAGGCGAGTGGATCACGAGGTCAAGAGATCGAGACCAGCCTGGTCAACATGGTGAAACCCCGTCTCTACTAAAAATACAAAAAATTAGCTGGGCATGGTGGCACGTGCCTGTAATCCCAGCTACTCAGGAGGCTGAAGCAGGAGAATTGCCTGAACCCAGGAGGCAGAGGTTGCGGTGAGCCGAGATCACGCCATTGCACTCCAGCCTGGGTAACAAGAGCGAAACCCCGTCTCAAAAAAAAAAAAAAAAAAAATCACAGGTCTGGCTGGGCATGGCAGCTCACACCTATAATCCCGACACTTTACGAGGCCCAGAGGCAGGCGGACTTGAGCCCAGGAGTTTGACACCAGCCTGGGCAACATGGCAAGACCCCATACCCACACACACACACACAAAACTAGCCAGGTGTTGTGGTGTGAGCCTATGGTCTCACTACTTGGGGGTGGAGGCAGGAGGATCACTTAAGCCTGGGGAGGTCAAGGCTGCAGTGAGCCATGATCACAACACTGCACCCCAGGCTGGGCAACGAGAGTGAGACCCCGTCTCAAACAAACAAAAAATAAATAAATAAATTACAGATCCTACATTTCTCCCGAAAATCAATAAACAAATTGTCAGTAAATATGTGAAAGGGTGCTTAATGTGGTCTTTAGGGAAATGCAGATCAAAACCACAACGAGACACCGCTTCACACGTACTAGGAAGGCCATCATAAAACACAGCAGGTGTTGCCAAGGACACGGAGAAATTGCAACAGTTTGCACCGCGGGTGGGAATGGAAGATGTCCACTGCTGACAGAAAAACCACTCTGGGGCTGGGCACAGTGGCTCACATCTGCAATCCCAGCACTTTGGGAAGCTGAGTTAGGCAGCCTACTTGAGGTCATGAGTTCAACACCAGCCTGGCCAACATGGCGAAAATTAATCTCTACTAAGAATACAAAAACAGGTGTGCACAATTGTAATTCCAGCTACTCGGGAGGCTGAGGCATGAGAATCATTTGAACTGCGGAGGCTGAGGTTGCAGTGACCTGAGATAGTGCCACTGCATTCCAGCCTGGGTGACAAAGTCAGACTCTGTCTCAAAACAAAAAAACAAAAGAAAAGAAAAGCCAGTATGTCAGTTCCTCAAAAAGCTAAATTTTAAACACAGAATTACAGTATAATCCAGCAATTCTGTTCCTCGTATTGACCCAAAGCACTGAGAATAGTAACTGAAACAGATAGGAAGGGCCGGGCACAGTGGCTCACGCCTGTAATCCCAACACTTTGGGAGGCCGAGGCAGGCAGATCACAGGTCAAGAGATCGAGACCATCCTGGCCAACATGGTGAAACCCTGTCTCTACTAAAAACACAAAAATCAGCTGGGCATGGTGGCGCACGCCTGCAGTCCCAGCTACTCAGGAGGCTGAGGCAGGAGAATCACTTGAATCTGGGAGGTGGAGGTTGCAGTGAGCTGAGATCGTGCCACTGCACTCCAGTCTGGAGACAGAGTGAGGGGGTGGGGGAGGAGGAAGGAAGGGAGAAAGGGAGGGAGGGAGGGAGGGAGGCAGGGAGGAAGCATCATGCCCAGTGGAAGCCACCAGACACAAAAGGCCACATATTATATGATCCCACTTATATGAAATGCCCAGAATAGGCAAATCCATGGAGATGGAGAGTCACTCACAGTTACCGGCAGCTAAAGGAGGGGCTGGGGAGGGAGAATTTAATGGGTACAGAGTTTCGGTTTGGGATTAAAAAAAGTTCTAGAAATGGACAGTTGTGTTGGTTGTAGTACCTGATGAATATATGTAATGCCACTGAATTGTAAACTTACAAATGGTTAAAAAGGCACGTTTTATGTTTATAGATAGATAGATAGATAATGTACCTATATATTTTTGAGACAGAGTCTCACTCTGTCACCCAGGTTAGAGTGCAGTGGCCTGATCTCGGCTCACTGCAACCTCTGCCTCCCCAGTTCCAGTGATTCTCCTGCCTCAGCCTCCTGAGTAGCTGGGATTACAGGTGCCTGCCACCACACCCAGCTATTTTTTACACTTTTAGTACAGATGGGGTTTTGTCATGTTGGTCAGGCTGGTCTTGAAATCCTGGCCTCAAGTGATCCACCCACCTCAGCTTCCTGAAGTGCTGGGATTACAGACTTGAGCCACCATGCCCAGCCTATATATATGTATATATTTTTATCACAGTAAAAACATTTTTAAAAAACTGATGGCTCTTTACCTTGGCAGAAAGAGTTCAAATGCGCTGTGATATGGTTTGGCCATGTCCCGACCCAAAGCTCATCGCAAACTGTAATCTCGAACTGGAATCCCCATGTGTCAATGGAGGTACCAGATGGGAGGTAATTAGATCATGGGGGCGGTTCCTATGCTGTTCTCATGATAGTGACTTCTCATGAGATCTGATTTTTTTTTTTTTTCTTTTTGAGAGTCTTGCTCTGTCACCAGGCTGCAGTGCAATGGTGCAATCTCAGCTCACTGCAATCTCTACCTCCCGGGTTCAAGCAATTCTCCTGCCTCAGCCTCCCGAGTAGCTGGGATTACAGGCTCGTGCCACCATGCCCAGCTAATTTTTTGTGTTTTTAGTAGAGACGGGGCTTTACCATGCTGGTCAGGATGGTCTCAATCTCCTGACCTTGTGATCCGCCCGCCTCCGTCTCCCAACGCGCTGGGATTACAGGCAGAGCCAATGCACCCAGCTGATTGGATGGTTTTATAAGGTTTCTCCTGCTCTCTTATCTCTCCTGACGCCTTTTGAAGAAGGTGCCTGCTTCCCTTTCTGCCACAATTGTGTAAATTTTCTGAGGCCTCTCCAGCGATGCATAACTTTAAGTCAATTAAACCTCTTTTATTTTTGAGATGGAGTTTCACTCTTGTTGCCCAGAGTAGAGTGCAATGGCGTGACCTTGGCTCACTGTAATCTCCGCCTCCCAGGTTCAAGTGATTCTCCTGCCTCAGCCTCCTGAGCACTGGGATCAGAGGTGCCTGCTACCACACCCGGCTAATTTTTTAATTTTTAGTAGAGATACGGTTTTGCCATGTTGGCCAGGCTGGTCTAAAACTCCTGACCTCAGATGACCCACCTGCCTCAGCCTCCCAGAGTGCTGGGATTACAGGCGTGAGCCACCAGACCCAACCTATACCTCTTTTCTTTATAAATTACCCAATGTCAGGTGGTATTCTTTATAGCCGCATGAAACTGACTAATAATACACTTGGACGCTGTTCCCAAGGGGAATCAGAGACGTTCTCTACGCCTGAGCTGAGACAGGCAATTCCACTGCGGCTTCAGCTACCACATACTGAACACGTAAGGTCGTCTGTCCCAGAGAAACCAGACCATGAAAGCCACAAGACCAGGACCCATGTCTGTCTTATTCACCAAGGAATCCCCTATTCCCTGCATGATGCCTGAGACACACAGTAGATGCTAGATGATACGGTTTAGCTGTGTCCCCACCCAAATCTCACCTTGATCTGTAATAATCCACACAAGGGCAGAGCCAGGTGGAGATAACTGAATCACGGGGGTGCTTTTCCCCCGTACTGTTCTTGTGGTAGTGGTAAGTCTCATGAGATCTGACGGTTTTACAAATGACAGTTCCCCTGCACAAGTGCTCTTGCCTACCGCCATTAAGATGTGACTGCACCGGGTGTGGTGGCTCACACCTATAATCCCAGCACTTTGGGAGGCCAAGGCAGGTGGATCACCTGAGGTTGGGAGTTCGAGACCAGCCTGGCCAACATGGAGAAACCCTGTCTCTACCAAAAATACAAAATTAGCCAGGCGTGGTGGTGCATGCCTGTAATCCTAGCTGCTCGGGAGGCTGAGGCAGAAGAGTCACTCGAATCCGGGAAGCAGAGGCTGCAGTGAGCTAGGATCGTGCCATTACACTCCAGCCTGGACAACAAGAGTGAAACTGCATCTCAAAAAAAAAAAAAAGATGACTTTACTCCTCATTTGCCTTCCACCACGATTGTGAGGGCTCCTCAGCCATGTGGAACTGAGTCCATTAAGCCCACTTTCCTTTATAAATTACCCAGTCTTGGGTATGTCTTTATTAGCAGTGTGAGAACAAACTAATACACTAGATAAATGTGAATCAATGAACACATGAATTAATGATGCTTGCCTTACCCAGCGAGACCAGGTTCCTGTAGTTCTCCAGCATCACCTCTCTATACAGGTTCTTCTGAGCAGGGTCCAGCAACTCCCACTCCTCTTGGGAGAAGTCCACGGACACGTCCTCAAAGGTTACTAGTTCCTAGAATATCACAGCGGTTCTGCTCAAGATGGGCCCATTGGCACCCACGTTCGTGGCAGGAGGGGCAGGCTTGGTGGCACCAGGGGAGTTCAGAAAGGTCAAGGTGCAAGATGCAGAAGTCAGTTTCTACTAGCTGCCTTGTGAGTGCCTGTCCTTGGCTGAAAAGCAGAGGGACATACAGATGCGAGGCCCACCATCGACAGAGCAAGGACGACCAGCACACAGTCTGGATCAAACACTTTGCCCATTTGTTATTGAAATGGGGATTCTAACCTCTGCATCTCTGAGTATGACATTCCCACGTGAGAATCTCCCCCTGCTGATTCTGAAAATGAATGGATTTCAGGGGTATGCCACTCACTGGTTACGGGACTGCAGGTATATTGCAGACCTGTCCAAGACACAGCCTCATCATCTGTTCAATGGAAAGAATAATTTTTTTTTTTTGAGACAGAGTCTCGCTCTGTTGCCCAGGCTGGAGTGTAATGGCGAGATCTCGGCTCACCGCAACCTCCGCCTCCCAGGTTCAAGCGATTCTCCTGCCTCAGCCCACCAAGTAGCTGGAATTACAAGCGCATGCCACCACGCCAAGCCAATTTTTGTATTTTTAGTAGAGATGGGGTTTCATCATGTTAGTCAGGCTAGTCTCAAACTCCTGACCTCGTGGTCGGCCTGCCTCGGCCTCCCAAAGTGCTGGGATTACAGGTGTGAGCCGCTACCCCTGGCCCCGGAAAGAAGAATTTTAACCAAAGCATGTTGTTGTGAGGACTAACTGGTTAACGTCAGTCACGGCATTTGTTATTGCTATAGTCAGAAGATCTAGAAGCAACATCCAACAATACGCAGGACAGAACTGGACCTTCTTCAAAGCCTTCAGTTATTAGAGGTCAGTTCTCTTTGCTTCCAGACTCAAGAGTTGCACATTACAAGGCACAGGCAGTGTTAAGAAGAGGAATCTGGGCCGGGCGCAGTGGCTCAAGCCTGTAATCCCAGCACTGTGGGAGGCCGAGGCGGGTGGATCACGAGGTCAAGAGATCGAGACCATCCTGGTCAACATGGTGAAACCCCGTCTCTACTAAAAATACAAAACATTAGCTGGGCATGGTGGCGCTTGCCTGTAATCCCAGCTACTCAGGAGGCTGAGGCAGGAGAATTGCCTGAACCCAGGAGGCGGAGGTTGCGGTGAGCCGAGATCGCGCCATTGCACCCCAGCCTGGGTAACAAGAGCAAAACTCCGTCTCAAAAAAAAAAAAAAAAAAGAAGAAGAATCTGCTACAACAACCCTGCTTCGCCGAAATATGGCAGAAGCTTTGTTGTTTTGGCATATGAAGGGGCTGGTGAGCACTTGGGGCCGAATGGCTATCCAGGTAATCCATGGGGCAGAACAGCACCTCCACTGCTATCTGCTGGAAGATGTGAAAGCTACCTAGGGAACTTGAAAAATGGTAGATCCAGCCCCAGGAGATTAGGCTTGCTTGGTTTCTCCCGGCTGCTTTTGGTCACTCTGGCTAAAGTGAGATGGTGGTGAGGAAAGCACCGTCCTGGTGAGCCCTTGGGGTTTGTTCTCCCCTGCACGTGAGAGGAAAGGGCCCAAACCTTCCCAAAGGTGAGCCTAGAATGCACCAAAAATATTTAAAGTGTGTGTTGCTCTCATCTCCAAGTGGGAAGAAAAATGTTTAAATCAGTTCCCAGGTGTGATGTTATGAACGTTTGTGTCCCCCTCAAAATTCATGGTGAAACTTAATCCCCAGTGTATTAAAATGTGGGGCCTGGCCAGGCGAGGTGGCTCACGCCTGTAATCCCAGCACTTTGGGAGACCGAGGTGCGCGGATCACTGGTCAGGAGCTTGAGACCATCCTGGCCAACATGGTGAAACTCCATCTGTACTAAAAACACAAAAAATCATGGTGCAGGCATGGTGGTGCATGCCTGTAGTCCCAGCTACTCGGGAGGCTGAGGCAGGAGAATTGCCTGAACCTGGGAGGTGGAGGTTGCAGCGCGCCGAGATCATGTCATTGCACTCCAGCCTGGGCAACAGAACAAGACTCTGTCTCAAAAAAATACAAAACTAATTTTGGGAGGCCAAGGCCGGTGGATCACTTAAGGTCACGAGTTCAAGAGTAGCCTGGCCAACATGGTGAAACCCCATCTCTACCGAAAATACAAAACTTAGCCAGGGGTGGTGGCACACGCCTGTAGTCCCAGATACTTGGGAGGCTGACCAGGAGAATTGCTGGAACCCAGGAGGCAGAGGTTGCAGTGAGCCAAGACTGTGTCATTGCACTCCAGCCTGGGAAACAGAGCAACACTCTGTCTCAAAAAAAAAAAAAAAAAAATGGTAAAATGTCTGGCATGGCTGCATCTCTGCTTTGCTGAAGAAAAGCTTCTGGCTATTTTTGTTTTGGGAATCCTGAATTCACAGATGGTAAATCAAAGACAAAGTGGAATTACTTGGTTGATACAGAACCCTGGGACGGAAGGCCGAAACGGGAGCTCTGTTATCCAGACAGATAACAGAGCTGTGGTCTTGGAGAACAGAGAATGCCATAACAAAACTTTCACCCAATTTTTCTGTAACCCTAAAACCACTGTAAAACACAAAATCCACTGGTTAAACAACAAAAAAAAAAGTGACCGGTCTGAGCAAAAAAAAGGTTAATCTAGAAACTGAAGAAGGAGAACGCAACCTTCTTTGAAAAATAGAACTTCTGCCGGGCGCGGCGGCTCACGCCTCTAATCCCAGCACTTTGGGAGGCCGAGGCAGGCGGACCATGAGGTCAGGAGATGGAGACCAGCCTGACCAACATGGTGAAACCCCATCTCTTCAAAAAATATAAAATGAGCCAGGCATGGTGGCACATGCCTGTAATCCCAGCTACTTGGGAGGCTGAGGCAGGAGAATTGCTTGAACCTGGGAGGCGGAGGCTGATCTCCCCATTGCACTCCAGACTGGGCAACAGGAGCAAAACTTCGTCTCAAAAAAAAAAAAGAAAAGAAAAGAAAAGAAAAAAGAGAACTTCATTTTACACCTGACCAACCTATGTCCTGCTCAGGGTGCAGGGTGCCGCCATGGATGCAAACAATGTGTTTCCAGGGGAGTCCCAGGGCCCTCCCAGCCAGCCACCGCACCTGGGGGTGGTCTTGGGGACCCCATGGTACCCAAAACATGCAGTGACCTGAATCGATTTAATCTTGGGAGCTTACTAACAAAGAAAAGAAAAGAGCAGCAGTAAGCACTGTGTGCTACGATTTGCAAAATTAAGAAACGGGAAGAGGAACCAGACGCCGTAAAACCACTTCTGGCATCAGAACCATATGCACAGAGGAGGCGCCGGAGTCTCCACCCCAGCCTGAAGGGCCCTGTATGGACTCGCTTCAGTCCACACCCGTCTCAGGCCTTCCCCTCTCCCTCTCCAGCTGCATCCTCAAAACAAAAACAAAAACAAAACCCTTCCAGATTGGCTTAGCGGTTCACACTTGCAATCCCAGCACTGTGGGAAGCCGTGCTGGGGGCACCGCGTGAGCCCAGGAGTAGCACAGAGAGGTCTGGTTTCTATAAAAAAATTTTTTAAAAATTAGCTGAGCATGATGGGATGTGCCTGTAATCCCAGCATTTTGGGAGGCTGAGGCGTTTGAGGCCACTTGATGTCAGGAGTTTGAGACCAGCCTGGCCAACATGGTGAAAGCCCATCTCTACTAAAAATACAAAATTTAGCCTGGCGTGGTGGCAGCTGCCTATAATCCCAGCTGCTAGGGAGACTGAGGCAGGAGAATTGCTTGAACCAGAAGGCTGCAGTGAGCCAAGACTGTGCCACTGCATTCCAGTCTAGGTAAAAGAGTGAAACTCCATCTCAAAAGTAAATAAATACATACGTAAAACTGCAGAGGGCGGGCACAGTGGCTCATGCCTGTAATCCCAGCACTTTGGGAGGTTGAGATGGGCGGATCACCTGAAAGCAGGAGTTCTCTGCCAGTGTGGGCCAACCTGGTGAAACCCCATCTCTACTAATAATACAAAAATTGGGCCAGGCGCAATGGCTCACGCCTATAATCCCAGCACTTTGGGAAGCCAAGGTGGGCAGACCACAAGGTCAGGAGTTCAAGACCAGCCTGGCCAAGATGGTGAAATCCCACCTCTACTAAAAATACAAAAATATCAGCGGGGCATGGTGGCGAGCACCTGTAATCCCAGCTTCCTCAGGAGGCTGAGGCAGAGAACTGCTTGAACGTGGGAGGTGGAGGTTGCGGTGAGCTGATTGTGCCACTGTACTCCAGCCTGGGTGACAGGGCAAGACTCTGTCTCAAAAAAAAAAAAAAAAATTGGCCGAGTGTGGTGGCACACGCCTGTAATCCCACCTACTTGGGAGTTTGAGGCATGAGAATCACGTGAGCTCAGGAGGTGGAGGCTGCACTGAGCCAAGATCACGCCACTGCGCTCCAACCTGGGCAACAGCAAGACCCTGTCTCAAAAAGATAAAAAAATAAAATTATAATCATGTCGTGCTCAGTGAGAGAAGCCAGACAGAGAAGGACAAATCCTGTGTAGTCCCACTCCTAGGAGGTCCCTGGAGTTAGCAGCTTCACAGAGACAGAAAGTAGGATGGGGAGTGCCGGAAGCTGGGGGCGGGTGGGGAGTGAGTGTCTCATGGGACAGGAGTTTCAGTTTGGGAAGAGGAGAAAGTTGTGGAGAGGATGGTGGTGACGGTTTCACAACTGTGTGAATGTGCTTAATGCTGCTGATCTGTGCACTTAAAAACGGCTAAGATGGTAAAGTTCATATACGTTTCATGTGTGTTTTATCACAATTACGAAAATATTTTTCAAGCAAAGAGGAGGATGCCTTCCTGGGCGGCCCTGCCTGCTCTCCAGGGGAAGGTGCTGGATCCCACCTCAGTGCCACTGAGGTCACGCACTCCATGGGGCCTGGGGAGCGGTTTGGGAGCCACCCAAACCACCTGTGGATCCGAGCTCCCCTGTGCTCTCGGGGGACCTGAGACCAGGCAGGATCTGCCTTGCTGGGTGCAGCTGCAGACCCGGGCCTCCCACTCCAGGAAGCAGGTAGGAGCTGGAGACAAGTGGGAGCCCTGCCTCTTCCAAGCTGGTGACACAGGAGCTCCAGGGTGCAGCGGCGGCTGCCCTCCCAGGCCCAGGACCCAGACATCTTTGCAGCCTGCACCCTCAGGGGTCTCAGGAAGGACCCCCCAGTCCCTGCAGGTTCAGGGGTGTCTGCTCCTGAAACCTGCTTCAATCTCAGAATGGGGGTTGGGGCCAAGCCCCAGGAGCATGAGTGGCAGCAGGAGGCAGCTTAATTCCTGGGCGGAAGGGGGTGGGTCCCCAGTAAGGCCCCACCTTCAGTCCACGGAGGGTCTGAAGACGGGGCTGGGCTGCCACTGCTGCAGACAACAGTGGGGACTCACAGTGCCTCTTTCAGCCTGCCCACGGCCACCCATGAACCAGCTGGCACACATTTCTCCCCTCTGAGATCCACAAAAGCCCTGGGCTCAGCCTTAGCAGGGCAGAGGACAGCCAGAGAATAGAGAAGGCCAAGAGATGACAGGACAGGACCACCAGCTGCAGAGAGGAGTACCCTCTCCACTGAGAGCTGCAGAGACAACCTGCCGGCAGGGAGGAGCTACCCTCTCTGCTGAGAGCTTCAGAGACCTGCAGAGACATCCGAACCACTTGCCTGCAGAGAGGAGCCACGCTCTCCAGGGCCTCCTGTCTGCAGAGCGCCGAGCGCTGGAGCACACAACCTGCCTGCAGAGAGGGGCTGCGCACTCGGAGCTGTTCTAACAGTAAATTAACTCTTCTTCACCCTTCCCTTGTCTGCCTGCCTCATTCTTCCTAGATGCAGGACAAGAACTTGGGCAAAGGCACCACGGCCACACGGCTTCCCGGCCAGGAAAACTCACACCCAGGAGATCCCGTAATCCTGTCTCCTGGGAAAGGCTGTGCTCAGCCCCTCTACGGGGCTTGGGAGCGGCCTAAGTACCTCCTCCCACACACTCCTGGGAAATTCTCCGGAACTTTCCACATAGCAAGGGGTCTCCTTCTCTACCAAGGACTGAGTTTCTGGTGGGACTGTTCCCTCCGGATATACTGGGCACCTTTTGGGAGGGTGATGACATCTCACCTGGGACCAGCGGGGCGGGTGCCCAGCAGTCATTCTCTCCTCTTGGGAAAAGCAGGTTCCTGGGCAGGCAGAGCTGTGGGGAGGAAAAAAGTGCTGTGAATACGAGACCAAGGCCAGTCCCCAGATGCCAGAACCAATGGCCTGGAGAACCTCCATTCACTTGAAGGACACCCATATACGGAGGGAGGTAAACTGAAAGCAGGACCCAGGACTGAGGCCAGGGTTTTTGGTTTTTAAGAGACAGTCTCCCTCCGTTGCCCAGGCTGGAGTGCAGGGGTGTGATCACAGCTCATGGCAGCCTCAACCTCCTGGGCTCAGGTGATCCTCCCAACTGAGCCTGTAGTTGGAAATACAGGCACCACCATGCCCAGCTAATTTTTTTTATTTTCTGTAAATATGGGGCCTTTCTATGTTGTCCCAGGTCCACAGCTCCTGGGCTCAGGAGATCCACCTTCCTCAGCCTCCCCAAGTGCTGGGATTGTAGGCGTGAGACGCTATACCCATCCACGGCCAAGGGTCTTGAAGACCCCCTTTTATTTATGGATAAAGGTACGGCCGCCCTTGGAAGCAAACAAGTTTACAGAACACTGAGAGTCTGTTAGGAAGTGAAACGCTCCACATGTGTCTCCTGAGGCTGTTTTCACAAGCTGTCAGTAACCCAGGGGCTTAAAATGACAGGAATAGGCCGGGCATGGTGGCTCATGCCTGTAATCCCAGCACTTTCAAAGGCTAAAGAAGACAGATCACCTGAGTAGGGAGTTCGAGACCAGCCTGACCAACATGGAGAAACGCCATCATCTCTACTAAAAACACAGAATTAGCTGGATGTGGTGGCACACGCCTCAGGAGGCTGAGGCAGGAAAATCACTTGAACCTGGGAGATTGTGCCCCTGCTCTCCAGGCTGGGTAACAGAGCAAGACTCCATCTCAAATAAAAAAAAAATTTGGCTCAGCACAGTGGCTCACACCTGTAATCCCAGCACTTTGGGAGGCTGAGGTGGGTGGATCACCTGAGGTCAGGATTTTGACACCAGCCTGACCAACAAGGCCCCTTCCCCTATCCCGGTCTGCGGTGCATTGCCACAGCAGCTCCAGGAGGTTTATACAAGAACCAAAGGCAAACCCATCTCTTTTTTCTTTTCTTTCTTTTTTTTTTGTGTGCGTGCTTTTCAGGTCTTAAGCAACCCCATCTCTACCAAAACAAAACAAAATTAGCCGGGCGGGGTGGTGCATGCGTGTAATCCCAGCTACTCGGGAGGCTGAGACAGGAAAATCACTTGAACCTAGGAGGCGGAGGTTGCAGTGAGCCGGGATATCACCATTATACTCCAGCCTGGGCAACAAGAGAGAAACTCTGTCTTAAAAAAGAAAAAACAAAATGTCCATGTGATGATGCAGGCAGAGAGATCTTCCCACAGAGCCTTTACAAACAGCATGGCCCAGCCATGTCTTCATTTCTGGTTTCTGGCCTCCAGACTTGTGACAGAATAAATTTCAAGGCCCCTGCCCCTGTCCCGGTCTGTGGTGCATTGTCACAGCAGCTCCAGGAGGTTCATACAAGAACCAAAGGCAAACAGACACCGTCTCGTTGCTCTGAGGGGCTTCGCATGGGGGACTCTTGGTAGGTGCTGCGGGGATTTACAACCTGCTGCCCGCCCTTCCCTCTGCCCTGACATGGGGAGCGGCTTCCTTTGCACTTGGGACTTGATTTTTTTATTTTTCTGAGATGGAGTCTCACTTTGTCACCCAAGCTGGAGTGCAGCGGCACGGTCCTTTCGGCTCACTGCAACCTCCGCCTCCCGAGTTAAACGATTCTCCTGCCTCAGCCTCCTAAGTAGCTGGGATTGCAGGCATGCTGCACCCAGCTAATTTTTGTATCTTTAGTAGAGACAGGGTTTCACCATGTTGGTCACGTGCAACTCCTGGGCTGAAGTACTCTAACAGCCTTGGCCTCCCAAAACGTTGGGATTACAGGCGTGAGCCACCGCATTTGGCCCACTCTTGGGACTTCATATTACAGCTCATGGCAATGGGTGCAGGACCTCCGGCTGCATAGCTCCTGCAGACCATCTCTCTAGTGGAGGGTCCTGTGGGCCACTTGAGGATGGAAGAGAGATGGGTACGGAACAGATCAGGGAGCTTGGGGTTGCAAGACCAGCAGAAAGGTCAGCTGCCTCCTCATTCCTCAACAGGGGTGCGCGGCCATCAACAGAATGGAGGCTTGCTATCTTAACACCAGGACTGCGGTGCCAAGTGTAAGTGCGGTCTCTCCCCCTGGGCACTGCGGGCACTGGCATCATTCTCTGGGCAGGGGCAGGTCTCTCGCCCTGGGCACTGGCATCATTCTCTGGGCAGGGGCAGGGCGCTGAGCTGCATCCCTGGGCTCCACACACTCTGTGCCAGGAACGCCCTCCAGTTGTGACAACCAAAGACGTCCCCAGACATCGCCGTGTCCCCTGGAGGGCGGGATCGCCCCTCCTGGAGACCCTGTGATGTGGCCTCACGGAGTGCGAGCGTGGCAGCCGCCCTGTCCTTAGGGGTAGAGTCGAGGCGTTTTCTCCCTGTCCTTGCAGGCCGGGCCTCAGAGCTAAGGCGTCTCTCATCCAGGGGCCTTTTCACAGGGCAAGGGCAGACCGTGCCATCCTGGGCGCTGGGGCCCCGGGCCAGCTGCCGGCGACCGACCCTCCCGTGGGGCCCCTAACGCGACAGGGTCACGCCCCGGGCACCCGGCCACGCAAGAACCAGCAGCACGAGAGCCCCGGCGGGCCCGGAGCGGAGGTCGCGGCGCGGGAGGCGGCGGCACTTACGGCTGAGCTGCCGGGAGGCGCGCGCGCCGGCCCAGGTGGGCGCAGGTGACCATTGGGGCGCGCGCTAGGGTGCCACGCAGGGCCCCTGAGGCGGGAGCGCCCCGTGCAGGCCGGCCGGGCTCCCCTGAGTGTCCCGGGGAGGCCTCCTCCGCTCGGCCCCTCCCCACGCAGGCGCAGCCGCAGCCGCCAACCCCGGACGCGCCGAGGTGGACTCGGCACTGCGCCTGCGCATCCCGAGCCCGCGAACTACGAGTCCCAGCAGGCTCCGCGGCGCAGCGCGGGGCTCCCGGCGCTTCGAGCTGGGTCACAGCGCCACCTCCGGGCGGGCGGTATCTCCGCGGGACCGCGTTGCCCCTGAGGCTGTCGGATCCTGCGCATTCTGGGGTTCGCGGAGCCGATCCTCAAATCCCAGTTCCGTCGTTTCCCGGCGGCTTGCCATTGAATATTCATAACTATTATTATTTATTAAGCAAATTATATGAACATACAATGCATTACATATTATTAAAATGATTGCTTAATTGTTAAGACTATTAAAGGTTAATCTTACGTGAATTGAACCTTAGACTGAAGAAAAAGAAAAAAAGAAATGAAGACTATTAAAGGTTAAGCTATGATTGTTAAGAAAAGGAAAAAAAGACTGAGTTTCGCTTTTGTCGTCTGGGTGGGAGTGCAACGGTGTCATCTCAGCTCACTGAAACCTCTGTCTCCCAGGGTCAAGTTATCCTCCTGCCTCAGTCTCTTGAGTAGCTGAGATTACAGGTATGCGCCACCACACCCGGATAATTATTTATATTTTTGGTAGAGACGTGATTTTACCATGTTGGCCAGGCTGGTCTCCAACTCCTGACCTCAATTGATCCGCCTGCCTCGGCTTCCCGAAGTGCTGGAATTACAGGCATGAGCCACCACACCCGGCCATGATTGCTTAAATAACTGTTTAAATAAATTGTTCAAATAGTTTATTATTCTGATTGATATCTTTCATGAGAAATTATAATAGTTAAGCTACCATAATTAATATACTATAAAGGTTCATAACATAGTCACAGTAATTGCATTAGTCAGTTCTCACAGTAAGGCACGGGCCACCATGCCTAATTTTTGTATTTCGGGTTTTTTTTGGAGACAAGAGTCTTACTCTGTCACCCAGGCTGGACTGCAGTGGCGTGATCTTGGCTCACCACAACCTCCACCTCCCAGGTTCAAGCAATTCTCCTGTCTCAGCTTCTCAGGTAGCTGGGTCTGCAGGCACCTGCCACCAGGCCCATCTGATTTTTGAATTTTTAGTAGAGATGGGATTTCACCATGTTGGCCAGACTGGTCTCAAGCTCCTGACCTCAAGTGATCTGCCCGCCTCAGCCTCCCAAAGTGCTGGGATTACAGGCATGAACCACTGCGTCCAGTCAAATGAAATTACTGTTTAAATATTTAATATTCTACTGTTATTCATGAGAAATTAAAATAGTAAAACTATTATAATTAATATACCATAAAGGTTCATAATATAGTCTGAGTAACTGCATTAATCAGTTCCCACACTGACTAAGGCACGGGCCACCACATCTGACTAATTTTTCTTTTTTTAGTAGAGACAGGGTTTTGTCATGTTGGCCAGACTGGTCTTGAACTCCTGGCCTCAAGTGATCCACCTGCCTCGGCCTCCCGAAGTGCTAGGATTACAGGCTTGAGCCACCACGCCTAGGCAATAACTAACTAATAACTGGGAACGTTTGGACTGACATAACTGCCAAGTTCAGGGCAGGACTGGACCCCAATGTAAACGGGGATCGAGGTGCCTGGTTGACGTCGTGGGTAGCCACCATCACAGCCACAGAGTCCTCCGGATTGGCACGCCCCACTCCAGGCAGCTCCACGTGCCCACAGCATTTCCTCCTCCCAATTTCAAGTTCAGGGAAAAATAAAATTCTTTCTCTAATAGTTCTAACCAAGTCAGAATGGAGGATTACTGAGGCAGGTGCTCCAAAATAGATCACTAGCCCATCCGTAAACTAATGACGAGAGGTGGCCAGGGGCATAGGATGGCCTCCAGGACAGAGCTCCATCTCCCCGGCCTCCTGAGCTGAGGATGGGGCGAGGGGGAATATCCAACGGCCGTGTGGGGTTTGAAGAGGAGAGCATCCCAGTGGCCTGATGCAGCCTGGAAAGACCGGAAAGCTCTGTGCATGGCCACGGGAACTGGGTCCCCCAGGGAGCCACATGGGCAGTCCCCGGCCCCCAGCCCATGCTGGAACTCACCCCTGGCCCCATTTACCTTGAGACTTGAACCCAGACCTCCTGCCTCCCGGCCCAGGGCTCAAGCCACCCGCAAGCTGCCCATCAATCTCAGAATCGAACTGAGTTTCACAAAACATTCCGTTCCCTACGGACAGCCCCGGAGGATGAGGCCCCATGCAGGATGCCCCTTGCAAGGCTGTGGCCTTCCACTGGTGTTGCTGACTGGGGAGAGGAGGGAGAGGACACTGGCTCTGCTCCCAAGACACCCCATCTGGAACACAGGGACAGTTATAACACCAGTCCTGCCTGCGGGGAGGACGAGAACACAGTGCCTGCCCACCCCGCGGTGCTGGGCATCCCTGTAGCAGCCCCAGTGGTATTGCCCGGAGCTCGGGGCCGCTCACCAGAAAGGTCCCAGCAGCTTCTCGGTTTGAGAAATACTTAGTGAACGACCTCAACTTGGGCCACAGGCACAAAGCCTGGGGTGCGTGTTGGCAGCAGCACCGGCAGGGACAGCACTGTGGGGACGAGGAGCCAGGGACATCTGGGGATGCCCATGGTGGCTGGACTGGTGACAGGGGAGAAGATCCATTCTCCGTTCAGGTTTTGTCAAAAACACAAATCACAAATAATGAGTTTATGGAGAAATGTTGCAAAGATCCCGAAACACACAGGCTCATATATATTATATACGTATATATGATTTTATGTTTTTCTCTTTTATTCTCCACAGGGGAGCAGCAAGTGGCCAAGGAGAATGACAATCTGGATGGGCAGGGGATGCTGATGCCAGGCTGCCCTCATAGCTGCTGCTGGAGCCCTGTGGCAGGAGTGTGGGGTGGAGGAGCCGGGAGACAGAGCGGATCTGTGTCCCCCTCCCTGTTCCTGGTGTGGGGCTGGGCCTCAGCTCTGTCCTGGAGTGTTTGGGGAAAGCTGGGTGTCCCGTGTGGACGTTTGGGAAGGCTCTGAGGACGACCGTCTCTCTGGGGCATGGGGCCTTGGACCGAGACTCTGCTGCTACCTCCAAGTTCCTGGGTGTCCACAGAGGAGCAGGGGACATGCTGGGGGAGGCAGCCCAGGCTGCCAAGCACCGAGGGCGCTGCTGGGGCATCTGGCAACTGACATCTAAACAGTGCCTTCCAGGGGAGCGGTGTGTGGATGGTCAGGCCATCTGCCCAAGACCCAGCAGCCCAAGACTGTGACCCCAGCTCTGCTGTGATGGGCCAGGCTATGTGTGTGACCACAAGGCGGTGCCAGCCCAGGGCCCAGCTGGGGTGCCGCAGCACACCTGGGTCTTAGATGCGGACAAGGTGGAAGCATCTGCGGGCTTGGTTCAGGGGAGATGAGGGCGGCCCCAGACTCCCGCCTCCACCTCTGCCCGCTACTGTTGTTTCCAGAGACGGCCTCACGGTTGCCCGGGCTGCAGTGCAGTGGTAGGATCATGGCTCACCGCAGCCTCGACCCTGCTGGGCTCAAGCAATCCTCCCACCTCAGCCACCCAAAAAGCTGAGACCACAGGCACTCACCCCACACCCAGCTAACTTTTTTGTAGAGATGGGGTCTTGCTATGTTGCCCAGGCTGGCCTCGACCTCCCGGGATCAAGCAGTCCTTTGGCCTCAGCCTCCTGAGTAGTTGGGGCTTCAGGTGCAAGCTATGGCTGCAGCTCTGGGCTGAGTATTCGAAACGAGGCCACTGTCGTGTGCCCACTTAGCACTTCCCGCCTTTCTGGCATAACCCTCCTGGCCATGGGTTGTGCCGTCCAGCTCTGCAAAGACAAGACTCACCCCCCAGCCCCCAGAGCTGGAAAGACACAGACGCAGGCGCACGGAGTGGAGCCCGGCGTGCATAAGGTGCAGAGCAGGCCCCATGGCAGTGGCCACAGCCACACCGGCCTGGGCTGGGTGGGAATGGGACAGGAGGGGCTGGAGCAGATAGCACAGCACCCGGAGTCCCACCCAAATTGAGGTGAGGACGAGGCGACGTCTGGCCACCCATCGGGCCTTGGAAAGCAGGGTCACAGGTTGCGTTGGCCAGCCTCCTTGATGGAGGACCAAGAGTGGGGAGGGATGCCCCAGGGCACGAGGGGGGCTCCGAGAACCTCAGTCATGGGAGCAAACATCAGAGCGCTCGAGTTGAAGCAAGGAGCATCCGCCTGTCCTGCTCAGGTGCTGGGGACACAGCTGCCAGCTCTCCGAGGCACCTCTGAGCACCGTCAGAGGGTCCAAGAAGTGCCCCGACCCTGATTAAGACGTTGTCATGTTGCCCAGAGCCAGGGGAGCAGGGCCACCAGGGAGGGCAAGCACAGGCAGTCCCCAAGGCCACGAGGATGAGGGCCACAGCCGAGCCACCAGCTGCCCTGGCTCACCTGGTTTGCTCATGTCCAGTGGGATCCCCCAGGGACTCTGCCCAGGAAGCCCGAGCGAGCCAGGCCTCCCCTGGGAGTGAGAGGGCGGGTGGCTGCCGACCCGCAACCCTGCCCGGGCTGCCTGTGCGCACAGGGGGCTGCCTGGCTTTGTGGACTTAGCAGCCGAGCCTGGTCCTTGATGATCAGAGCCGAGCAGGGAGGGGAAGGCATGTTCCAGAATGCCAGTAGGTGAGAAGCACGCAGGGAGCCAAAGTCTCTGAGACTGCCGCAGGCCGGCCTGGCCAGCAGAACTGGTTCCCCAGCCCCCGGGCCTTCACTCCCTTCAACATAGACCTGTGCCCCCATCCAGGGCCTGGTGCGGCAACAACCCGAGGGCTGGACCCTGACCCCATGTCCCGCCATCCTAGGACAGAAAGGGCAGGAGCCAACGACCAGGCTGGGGAGCCTCTCTCCTTTTTTTCTTTTTAATGATCTCATTTCAAAGAACAGCCATCTCCCGACCAGGAACGTTTCCCAGGAAGGGGACGTGTTAGTGCAACAAAGACGAGGCCC